AGTGAATAATCCCCAAGGCAGAGTCATAACAAGTCTCTGGCTACCTGCTGATAGGTACAGATGGCATATTTAATCCCAGAAAGATAATCTTCTAAAACAGTTAATGATCACCTAACGTCAGGGGTGCAATCACTCAGTAACAGTCTGACCCACTCTCCCTCCCAAGTACTTACCAATTGTTATACTAATTCGTTTCCTTGTCTTTGTTGCATCTCCTGGGCACAGAGCTGGGCAGATACTGCTGGCTGTTTCCTCTCTCGATCTACCTGCCTGTTTAGTGGAAACTCTTTTCCACCCTCCCCAGGACACGCCTGCAGGTGTTCAACCAATACCTCCCCTTTCACCTGCATTATGCCTTGATCTGGGTAACAGTGACACAGCAACACTCCATGCCAGGGGATGGGGTGAATGGCATCAGATATGGACGTACTAACAGGTCATAAGACCTTTCGCCCAATTTGATTTTTGGAGAGAGCATCTCTAGATACTGTCGCAACATGGATTTTATCTCTCTCTGCTGGTACACGCAGGTGATGACTTCCAGAGATCAGCTAGTAGTTTCTTTGCCTGTGATTACCCAAATTAATGTTACATAGGTATCATAATATTCCATGGAACTCTTGGGGATGAATACAGGGTTCTGAGCAGATCTCAATGAAGAAAAGGGGGAATTAACACTGGATGTTGTCTGGGCAGATTTAGAGAAGTGGAAACAAAATATGCATGGCAGGAGCTAGTGAGAGACTGTATTTAGAAGCTCATTTGGCACATACCATCCTGCTAGTGGCAGCATTGTCATAGTGACTGTGTCATGTTAACCCAAACAAACATTACAGAGCAGTTATGCAAGTGTAGCCACACCAGCAGCAAGCCTAATAATAATGATGCCCTTATCTGGGAACTTGCTATCTGTGGAAACTACAAGAAATGCTGATTCATTACTACACAGCTTAGGGCACTGTCACTGGTTAAATATCACTTGCATCGACCTTTCTTACTGAATTAACACACCATGCAGCAGTCAGTGAAAATTACTATCAAATCCCTCACTGCTTCCTCCTTTAAAGGCTGTTGTGAGTCATACAAGACAAAAAAGAAGAAGTCAAGCCCTTTTTTTACAGTTTGATCTCCTACCTGGGGTTCGCCCCGGCACCACTCCTCAACTCTAATACCATTGATACTTCCTAATCAGCAACTTCTGTTTGATATCCTGAACTAAGCCCTGATCGCTCTCAGAAAATAATTTTGTAGGGTTTATAGTAGTGGAGCCAGGGAGCAGGGCCCGTCACAACCCAGGTAAGAAGTCAAACCACTCAAAAAATGTTTTGCCTCCTTACAATGAGCGGATGTCAGACAATCCTGGCACCATAACCACTACAGCAATCTATGTAGAGTCATGTAAGCCCAACAGGAAAGCATTTTACATGCTTTCCTATTGGGGAAATATAATGAGAGCAGAGCCATTGCCGCGTATGCACATTAGGTCTTCCCCTCCGGTTGACAACTTTTTTTTCCTGGCCCTATAGTTTAATACATATGTATACAAATATAGTGTCACACACATCACCAATCAATACTTAACTTGTAATTTTTGTGTCTAAATAGCTTCTCCAGGAAACCTCCCAGTAGTTTTCTTTAAATGCTATATATAACCAGTAGTATGGGGAGACAGCTATAAACAGAAGAGAAATATGCAATAGTGTAAAGTAATTTTAACCACTATAACCTGCAACAAAATTGCACTCACGAGAGGTATAGGTATATCAGTTAGAGGTATCTCCCCCGAAATATGAAGGGTTAACATTCGCTGTCCGTCTGGATGCCTTTCGGTTTAGAGATTTTTAGAAAACGGAAAGAAGCCTGGAGATTCGACACTTGAACAAAGACTTTGGGGTTAAACTGTTCTCAAATGCTTTAACCCTGTAAAGTAAGCCAGCGTTAGGGACCTCCTGGCACAATAACAAACTTAATTCTGATAAAGTTGTTATGGTGCCTAAACTGTAAAAGAACACTCCAATCAGAAGTGCCCTGGTGCCCAGCCAAAGTACGTAATGAAACTGTTTTAGAACAGTTTGATTTCTTACCCGGGTTTCACCAGGCACCCATCCGTGCCAGAAGCTCTCTAGCTAAACTCAACCTGGTGATGCAGAATTTAACTTATCGGCTGAGAGTGATCTGTTGATGCTATCAGTGAATAAGCTGGCCCTGCACCACAAGGCTTAGCCAGAAGAGCTAACGGAAGCTCCAAGCAGGAGCTTCTGGCTTTCCTGGAGTCTGAGAGGAGGCAGGGAGCAGCATCAAATGGGCCTGATGTAAGAAGTGAAACAGTTTCTAAATGGGGGAGGGAGGAACCAGGACACTACTGGTACCATAACCACTACACTGTAGTAGTTATTGTTCTTAGAGTGTTGTTTTTTTTTTTAAAGCCTGGATGCTGCTTACAGTATCTTTCTCATACCTAAATCCTTTCTGCCTCACCAGCTGCCTCACCTTGCTAATTGGTTTGCAAGATCTTTAATCATGTAAACCATGTTTTTCTTCAGATTAGTTTATAAGTATAATACCTGTGTGCTTTCCATTCCTTGCTGAGGGTGTATACCTCAAATGCACCCTCAGATTGAAAACTCTAAAAGGCAGGAGTATCCTCAAATAAAGACATGTTTTACATTCTCTAATGTCTACAAAACCTCTGCAATCATTGTATCCCTTCCAGCTGTAACTTGTGAAATGTTAAATACACCTATTAATATTATATACATTTATACTACAAGGCCGTTGAATGCTTCAATCTGATTGGTTGACGAACGTTCTAAGGTGTGCATTATTTTCAGGGAGACGCACGGCTAAAGTAGTACAAGACAGGTCTTGACCACATTACAGTTGAGTAAAAAATTAGTCCTACATACAAGAGCGTGTTAATGACAAAAACTTGACAAACGCCTTGAAATACATCATCTGAACAATGTTTCGAGGTGTGGTAACTGTAGCATAAGCGGAATAATTGACTCCAGGCCGTTGAATTATTAGAAAAAAATAATGCACACCCGAGGTGTAATGGCCACTCCGCTTCGCTTCATGAACGCATTACCACCTCGGGTGTGAATTATTTTTCTGATAATTCAAGGGCCTGTCATCAATTATTCCTTACATAATAAACATACAAAATATAAATGAGGCCGAGTTTGTAAAACTTTTAAGCTTCACGTTAAGCCACAAGGTATTATTTTTTTGTAAAATAAGACTGGGTAGACATGGATCTCCCATACATTACCAAGAGATCGCTGTTGGTCTACCATCAGACCGAGGGGTTCTAGCCCTCTAAGAACTGAAAATCAAAACGAAAAATGTGGTGATACGTAAAACTTAACTTTTTGATGATGATATATATATAAATATTTATTTATTTTTTCTAAGAATCTCACGGATAAAATATATTTTTTTTAAAGAGTATTTGAGATAGGGTAGTCATGTGAGACCCTAAGATATAAGAGAAAACTTGAGATAGGTGATGGATAGAGAGGAGATTAAGCAAAAAGAAGTATGGACAGAAAAAGATAATATTGCCCATGTTTTGTAATGAAATATTTACTGCATGTCCTGGAATGTTAGGAAAATATAATAAAATAACAGTGTTTTCTTCTAAACATGTAGAAACAACTCATAATATATATATTTTTAATTATATCTTTTCAACAAACTTTTTGCTGTAACAGTAACCTCATTAGGAAACACATGACTGGAGGCCAGAATTAACCCGAGCCTCAAGAGGGCTGTTAACCTTTGGCCTTGAGGCAGGTACAAATAAATGGCCTCTTGTAGCTCACACTAATCTCTGTGTGGATGGTGTCACTTACATGGATCATGCAATGTATGGATCTGACAGATAGAGGCTGCAGTAGTTCTGGGACATGATATAAAGATGTGACATCATATATCCCTCAAGCATCCATCAGTGTGATCTACACAGTATGGTGGAGAGAGAGATCTGTGCAATGTTTAATGACACAGACTCTGATTGTGCAACTTTATTGCAATGGCAACCTGCTTGTGTAATGAATGCCATGAGCACTATCTAATCTCACACTGTGGTCACTTGCATAACACCTTCATAATCCGGTAGCATTTTCATCCCAAGGTAATGCATTCTGTCAGGAATATTCCAGTGGGACATTTCAGGATGTGGTGATGAGATTGGAGGCATACATCTGCATGGTGCTGAGCTGACAAAGCTCCTGTCCAAATCCTGCCTGCTGTCTCGTACTGTGCCAAAAAACAACCTAACACACATCTTGCCATTTTAATTCATAGAAGAATGCTGTAGGCCATAGCTCAAAACATTGTCACTTTGCCGCCACCCTTTTCCAGACCTTCCATTCCCAAGAAATATATAAATTGTGAGTGGATATTTCAGAATTATGATCTGCCATTCAAAATTCCATTAATACAGAGCTTGGCAAATTTTCGTGAAATCTAGGAGCCACTGAAAAAGAGCCTGGATTATTCAACTAACAAAGCTTAGTTTTCAGCGACAAAAATACGATTCTTAAATGGACACTATAGTCTCCAGAACCACTACAGCTTAATGTAGTGGTTCTCGTGTCTATAGTCTGTCCCTTTAGGCTTCTCAATTTCGGAGAAAAGCCAGTGTTTACATTGCTTGAAGTTAAGGGTTGAGATTTGTAATAAATCTCAGTAATAGAGTATATAGTATTGCTTGAATGAACCACTCAACTGGAAAAAAAAAAGGGACTCCACTAAAAATCCCTAATGGTGCAAATAAAAGAAAAATATTAGAAAAAATCTAATATGAATCCAGGAGTAGTAAGTGGTATATACCTTTAAATATTTACTGTTTGTACCGCAAAATAGAGAAAACAACATGTAGCTTCCTAGCATTAAATGGTTAAAACTTATTGAAAAAGTAGTATGGTGATATAGTGAAATCTATAGACAAACATACAAATGAAAATGACAATAAATGTGACTGATCCAAATAGGATAATGATATCCAACTTGCTGCTTTCAGTTCAAATATGGGTTTGAGTCCAGTAAATTATAGTCTCTGGATAAATACACTTGTATCAGTAGAGCTTTTGCAACAATAAAATAGCAACAGTCAATTAATATGTTAGCTGTTTCAGTTTCCTCCAGTTATGGTTAAACTGGGATATTGTCTACATTAGACCTTGGATCCAGTTATACCTAAGGGCAGTACTTTATATTCAACCTATGTAAAACAACTATTTAAACCTTGGGACTTGCCGTTGGTCCTAACAGCTCTTACTAAAGCCCCTTTTGAACCCCTTCAAGAGATCCAGGAGTTATTCTTAACTTTGAAGACTGTTTTTTGTATTTTTGGAAACCATTGCTTATACAACACACACTTTGTCATCTGAGGAACCTTACCCATTCTAACATAAAGACAAAGCCATTATTTGTCTTGAACCAGAATGTCTGCCCATGGTTGTATCTTGTTTTTACATCCTTTGAGATTTTTGTCTTCCTTCATTTTTTGCCTCCCCTACTTCCCCTGAAGAGGAAACACAATGTTAGAAGGTGTCTCCAAATTTATTTAGAATGATTTAAAGTCTATCATAAACCTTCTAAGCTTTTTGTTATTCCTGT